AACGACGCTTTTAAATGACGCATCGTTTATAGATTTCACGGTATTAAAAACTTAATCATATTTGTGACACTTGACAAGGGTTAAATTTTAAATAAAGTTTTCCGAGAGATAATTTCTTTTTGCTTTCTTTATTTTATGAACATTAGTGAGACCGCGCAAGAGAGTGCTCCAAAATTAATCCCAGCAGAGCTATATATTCCGTGGATTTTTTTAATGATCATTAAAGCTATTTATAATTCGCAACATGCAATTACGAAATTTCTGCGTTAATTTTTCAAAAATGTATCTTTCGCCTAATAGTCCGCCTAAAAATGTTTTCTCGAACTTTTCAATTTTTTCAGGAAATTTGTTACGTACAGAAACTGTAATTTTCGAAGAATCTTGGAAGAAGCAACGTGAAGACGATTTATATTTCCCACAGTTATTCCGCCAAAAAGTACCTGGTCTTAGAACTTTGTCAGACTCACTACCGCATAATGTTGCCTTAAAGCGACAAACCGGTTTCCCACATTTTCCCCGCTTCTTCGTAGCCTTCGTGTCTATATGTTATAGAAAAAGTACCGCAGAGCGATTTAAAGCGACCTTTGTAGGTAAACGGGCGTCTTACTTTGCGCGTTATTGATAAATGCACGTATATATCGACTATTAATTAAGAGTTCATTAATATAAATATAATATCCTTGGTAAATATAATATTCTCAGCCTCGTTATAAATTGATAAAACGTGAGATAAAATTATGTTGCTTATTTACGTTTTATTGAACTTTGCTCATGTATCTTCGAAGTATTTGTGGAACTTCATTTTTTATGAAAAAGCCGAAGGAAAACATTCGTGTACAGTGTCCATACATCGGTTATCCGTTAAACAGAACGTTGTCCAAACGAAGTTAGGATATATAATGCAATGATCTAATCACAGTTGTATACTTATCGATAACGTGATTGCGATAATGCATAACAATATATCTACGGTGAATCGTTTCACCTCACGTAAGAAACTTTTATTGGATCTGATTTCCTTTACTGTTGTTTTCACAGTTTTCTCTGAAGATTTATCAATTTTTTCCTATTCTTATCGTTCCTTTTTTATTACATCCGAATTTTATCATTTGTATTATTTACGCGACCGATATATATTTTTTTAAATTGCGTGGCATTATTATGCAAGAACGCGTTGAATGATACTCATTCGATTGATAAAATGTTTTGACTACAATTAAAATTATCAGAAAATGATTGACGGAATTTAAATCTCTGTAACATAAATTCACGATGCTCCCAAATTATTTGTCAGCATTATCAATTTATTTCTACAAAACAGTCTTTAATTGGTTGAATTTCTACGGCCTTCTGTATTGTAACTACTAATGCAAATTGTTGCGTAATTGCTCATTATGAGGTGTAAAAACATATAGATTCATCTTGTAACTCCCAGTGTTTTAATATTTATTTATGAAATATCTATAGTCGGATGACGCACTAGTGTCATCGTTTACTAGTAGGGAAACAAAAATCGCTAAATGCGATCGATCGCAGGTCAGAAATTTATTGGTTCGATATTAAAATTGCATTAACTGTAATCATGCAAATGTGGAAGCCGATGTTAAGTAAAAATTCCTTAGTCTACGACTACGCTATCTGATTAATAAGTTATTGATCCTACGCAACGATCATGCTGGGAATAATGTGTAGAGTGTGATTTGTACGCCGGTGGCTTGAAATGAAACGTTATTTCATTCGAACTTATCGATAAATTGTGTTTTACATTTAAAAAGATCGAATTATCATCGGAATATCCTGACATCGAAGAAAAAGAAAATAGCTCGTTTATCTCTCTCGTATCTAATATTTACTAACGATAATCCCATACAACAGAGATATCGAGCTACATTATTGCAGGCAATAATTAATTTTTTTTTCTATGTAAAAATATTTTATATTAAAACTATCATAAAAATTACACGACATCAATGCTGTTATTATTGTTAATTTAAGTGAGATCGTTATGATGAAACAAATATAAGATACAATAAAAAGAATATAAATTTTTTATACATAATATTTTATAAAGATTATTAACTTTTTCAACATTATGTTGTTTATATATCAGCGGAGAATATTTTATGCATGATGTCATAAAGTACGATTGTTCTCTGGTTAAGTTTTATCCTCCATCATAACAATTGTGTGCGATACAAGTATTCCTTTTAAAGAAAGTCATCTCCGAAGTTGCAGCTTGCGGAAATTCGCTCTGCGGTTTGCCGACGGTACGCATGTGTTTTTGCGAAACACGATATATCCTATGAATTATATCGTCGAGCATTGTAGAAGACAGGCTAAAATTATTTCGTCAATCGACAATCAATTTTCACTTTATCTCATATATAAATAAAATAGAAAGTTGCTCTATCACGTAATGTTAATTCATGCATTTAGCTGAAGACGCGAGAAGTAGAAATAAAACGTCAGTAGATATCGATTAAATTTCTAAAAAGACACAGTACAAGACTGGAATTAGGTTCAGGTCAAAGTATAGCCTACTGAAGTGATCTTTCAGACACTGATGAAGGTGGTTTTCAATGTCCTGCGAAATTGCAGTGCCAGATGGACAAAAATGACGATGTCCCACATCATCCGCCTCTGTAAAACATTCTTCGGGCCCTTATCCCGCTCTGCTGTTACTGAAGAGAAACCAGCCCGTATTTTCCATCCATCAGATTTACGTAGTTTAATAAAGAAGGAAGTCCTCGTAAATAAATTCACGTCAGATCGAAAGAATAGAAACGCATTTCCGAGATGAAGGAGACGTTGCTGCAAGCGAGCGACGTCTTCTCCGTTTCACTCCGTTTGCTTCACTCACACAGTCACGTGCTGCTGTTTTCGTTTATCCTTCCCCCACTTGAACTTTTACCACTTCCTTCTCGTGCCGCAAAATTTTTCACGACCCGCAGCATTTTTACTTTCAATCGGACAAACAGATCGTCACGAGGTGGACCCTCTTTCCTCTCTTTCCCACATAAGCATCTGATTTCTGTCGCTTTGTTTAATTTCGATTCTTGTCGCTCATCAGTCTGTAATAATTTCAAAGAAATTCATACTCAAATTACAACGAGATTTGTGTCAACTCACCTTGATGTACTTATTTTATCTTGCTGTAGTTTCTCATTATTGACAAACGTGGATTAAGTCGATTGAAAACTACATTGATGAATGTAGTGTAGATTAATGCCCGTTTCTACCAATATAGATTAACTTTAATCTCGATTCAACTTACTCTTCATCTTTTTCTAACTGTTAGAACTATAAAAAGGTGAAGAGTAAGTTGAGCCAAGATTAAATTATACATTGGTAGAAATGGGCGTAAGTTGATTAAATGTTATATTTGATTTAAAAAGATCAGCTCAAATACTTATTCGTTAGATTTTTTCAATTAGATTATGTGAAAGGCGGACGTGCGATAAAGACTGATTAGCATAATTGATTGTTAGCACAACTGTATTGTTTATAACTAGCCGTGCTGTCGTGCAACAACATTCTGCAAATGTTCTCCCTCACTTGTATAAGATACTGTTATATATATTGCTAACGCATCGCCGATTTCATTCAAATATCGACTTGCTTCCTACTTACGTAATTCACTCTTACATCTTCGTAGTTTAGATTGTTTTATCGAGTTTGCTTCGAGAACTTACGCAGTGTTTTGTGTGCGTAAAATTTCCCGATCTTCACTTCTGAAAATCTTTTGTAGTTGCAAGTTGCATTATTACTGCGTGTACTCTTTGACCGTCCTCGAGGGACTTAAACTCCACAGGATAAATCTATACTCATCTATTCATCTCTCTCTTTCTCTTTCAGTCTAACCTTGTCCTTTACTATTCTTACGCGCCACCATTGTTCCATTGACGTTGTTTAAAATCTACAGTAAAAATTTCAGATTTCCTTCGGCAATTGTCCTTTCCCGTAGAGTTATTTTCTAACAGCTCGAGATTCTTAAAAGATACACATTATGATGAAATCCAGAATAAAAAAGCTGTACCTTGACAAATCTGTAACTTCGTTATATACATGAAACATTCGGCCCATTGTAAAATCTAAGACAGGAACGACTGAGAAACTCTTGGCCGACTCGCTTCTTTGCGACATCACGCTAGGCCGGGTCTAAATAAATTGTTTCGCGCAGCTGTTGGACGGAGCTCGTTTCGTTGATACTTGCAGGTCAGCCGGAACTTCAACGAGCCACGAATTGTTGACATCACCAAGCAGATGTAAAATTAAATTTACCACAAATCGAATTCGAAGACGAGCAACGATTAATCTTTGTAAATTTATTTTTTGAAATGACACAATTTTGAAATATTACGAGTTTCGAAAAAATCGGATTGTTTTAATAAATAATGAAATTCCTAATGTTTGCATTTACGCCACTTTCGAGATAAGGGAGCTAATAAGCGGAGCAGTATCTACTAAGTGTGAAGTAGTTGCTATCGATCGTTGTCGACGACGGAGAAAGTACATTTGCAGTTGTCTTCGTATACTAAGAGGCGTATAATCTTTTTAATCTTCCTAACTATGCAAGAGAAACCCGAAAATGAAGATAATCGTGACGAAACGCATAATTACGCGTATCAGATCTAGTAAAATGCTCCCAACCGCAGATTTTCTTTAATACGTAACAATTCTCTCAACAATTTCCCAAGCTATTTTCCCCTGAAAGTTCGTAATAACAACCGCTCCCATAAGGAATATTCTTCAGAAAAGTCTAGAGATGAAGACTGATGAAAACCCGCGCAATTATCGCGTTCAGTGCAAGCCATTGTTCGGTGACGGCCAACTAATTACAGCGTACGTTCTACACAGTTCATAAGTTCTGTGTAAACGACATATGCATGCGATATTTTGAAAAACCGTAAATAAGAGGTCTATCCCAAGCTCAGGTCAATTGGAATTCAGTTAGCATTCGTCACGCAGAAACCCAGGCGCGCGTTGCCGTCGGAAATTACCTGCGATTAAGCAGAACTCCACTGTGACGATTAGTCGAACGCGTCCGGCAAACAGTGTTCCACCATCCTGACGCGATGGGAAAAGGAGTCCTTTTTCCAAGTATCCAATTCACAGGCACATCACGGAAGCGTCGGGAACGTTTTTTTCCTGACGTTTCTGTTCTAACGGCGGTAGAAACTTCGCGAACCTCGGGGTATCACTCCGGGCTTCACCACTCGACGAACGAACGCGAGCACGAACGAGCAACGTACATGGGTTGATCCTCAGAGAATCAACAAACCGATCCGCCCGTCTTCCCTTCGAGGAAGCACGGAAGACTTTTCGCAAGCTACATTTCGCACCAGCTCGCCTCCTCAAAGTCCGCCTTTCGCGTCACGATCTACATGGATTCACCCTGGCGACTTTGCATCTCGTCACTGGACGATAATATTACAATATCACTTGAGCATAAATCGCTAGGCCGCTCCAAACGGCTCCAATTCCACGGAGCGGCTGTCAGTCGATCGCCGTCGCTGCTTCGGGCATATCTCCCTTTAATACAGGCGCCGCGCCGGCCGGGCGTAGCTTAAAGTTGCGCTTCGCCGAGCGGATCTTTCAAGAAAAACGTTCTGTGGAAGTGACACCATGGATAATACTACTTCGTCGTAACAATAGTTTCACCCAGCTTCGAAATTACCGGAGTAATTGAACAATAATATCCTTAATAGCGCGGTCCAAGTGCCTGGGTTGATCTCGGACGATCGTCACCAGCAGTGCAGACCAGCGCGTCCGACGAGCACCCGGATAAACGGGATAAAACCGACTTGAACGTTCGACTGGAGATGCCGAATCACATTTCCGGTAATCGAAATTTACACGCGACACAAAGCGGTGTAACGTCCACACCGCTGAACGACCGAATTGTGACTGCAGACCATAGGCTTGGACAGCCGTGGCCCCGCCGTAGTTCGCTCAGAACGGGGCGAAAGCGCACCGCCTCGTCTGCGAAGCAACGCCCATCGTCGACGAGCACGCCTCCCTCCCCGAAGGTCGGCACCACCTCTTTCCGTAGACTCGACTGCTGTCTTACGACCTACGGCGATGTCAGATTGAAATTTCATTGGCGTAATTAATTGTACGAAAATTTCTCGCCGATAATGAGAGGGGACAGTTGGCGAATCTGCTGACAATTGCAATGTTTTTGTAGAAACTTCAACTTCCACCCGATCGATTGGAAAATAATTGCGTTTTTCTTGAACGGATTATTTTACAATTGATAGATAATTGATTTCTATAATAATACCGGGAATTATTAACGGTGTAATAACAAAATTACCTAACCAACTGGATGCCAGTTCTTCCTCTAATTTGTATGAACTACGTCACTAAGAGAAGTTACGATCTTATTACAGAGAGAAACTCTTTAGATTATATGAGTACGATTATGACACATATTAAAAATAATTCATATCGTCACTAATTATGACCTTATATTCATATATTTTATTTGATTATTAATTATTTATCGATTGAGTTTTTGTCTTACATCCTTTAATATTACATTTGCTGCATGTTAATTGGCTGCAGGACAGAAAAGTTTTCAGATATCTATTCTACAGTCAAGCAATAGACTTGAAAAATTTGTCATACGACAAATATAATATCAACCTTGTTTTTCATATTTTTTTATCTACATCTATACGAGGTGTCCGGTAAGTTTTGACAAAGCGCTCATGTGTAGATAGAGCGTACCAAATTGAGTCGAAAAATCCTTTACCATTTTGCAATTTGCGCAATAATTAATAAGATATTAATTACTAAAAATTGTCGAATATATTAGTCTTCAATAATTTTTTACTCAAATACTATCAACTGTACAGAAAAACAGCAAGATATAAAAATTATTTGTTTTCTTCTCATAGAACTCTAAGAATTTTTTCAGAATTTTTTATTAACTTTTTAGTACTGCATTTTTTTTTATTGGCAACCAACATGAAAAAATGTGATATTAAAAAATTCTGAAAAAATTCTCAGAACTTTATGAGAAGAAAATAAACAATTTTTGTCTCTTGCTGTTTTTCTGTAAAGTTGATAGTATTTGAGTAAAAAATTATTTGAGAAATAGTATGCAGCGATTTTTAGTAATTAATATCTTGTTAACTAATGCGAAAATTGCAAAATGGTACAGGACTTTTCGACTTAGTTTAGTCTGTTCTATCTACACACGAGCGTTTTGTCAAAATTTAACGGACAACCTGTAGATGTGCACTTACAAAAGCTCGTGCAAGCATACTTTATTAAATTGCCATATACGTGCCAATTTGATAAATTTCATACTCCATTTCTAGTTAGGATATTATTGTGACGCAACAATAGGGAGAGAATAACAGATAGAGAATGTTATTATTTTTATGATTTTGCAATTTCGTGTTAGAAATCAAAGTAGGTATTATCTTTTCCTACAACAAAGAGAATGTCTAATTAATTCACCAGAATAATTGTAGCTAAACTTTGTCTGTATTTTAAAATAAATTGCATACCTGTTTTCGGCGTTTCTTTCTTAAGCAATCACCCATACAGCATACTTTATCCCAGAAATGTTCGCAAACGTTCTCAAAACGTTGGGACATTCTCAGAATGTTCTTCAAAAAGTTCCTTGGACATTTGTGCTATATGAACAGTGCCAAAGTTGATATGCGGTAAATAAATCTAAATCAGGGAATACTATTATACTCCATTAAATTATTCAAATAATTGCAAACTTATAAAAAAAAAATAACAATTAAAATATTACATAATTTAAGGAAAAAGTTAATAATATGTTGACGACTAATATATTTAGTCTTATTATATATAGCCTATCTCTGTACAAGGCTCTCCTTGTTGTTGTTATGTATAATATAAAATTTTCTATAGAGAACGCGCGGGCATACTGTCGAAACTTCAATTATATATGTTTACATCACGGCTTTCTATTTATTAGCTGTTGTCATGCGAGAATTTACTGCTTGCACGATACAAGGAAGATAGCATTCAGCATTTCTTCGAATCATTCACAAATATATTAATAAGAACGAAACAATCGACAGTAATCATTTCACAAGTTTATATCCGGGCGGCAGTACGATCCAACCTAATCTAATCTAACCTGACCTGACATAGATCTGGTTCTACGATCTTTTTCATTCATCAATTCTTGTTTCTAGCGAGACAACAATTTGGCAACGGTCAGGCTTACATTGTCAGTTGTCGCAATAAGACCCTGGAAGGCTCTCGAATCTACCACGCGTAAAGAACGACGCGGAAGAACGATCATCCGATTACGAGGATGTCGCGTGCGCGTCAGCATGGCGCCTTCCCCGCGAACGGGGCGGCCTACCCGTCGGTGACTCCCCCCCGTCCCCCCCTTCGTTTCGCACTCCACGCCCCGATAACGAGACTAACCCGTGCGCTTTTTGCGTCCACGTTCGCATACACACAATCGTACCGATTGCCCCGCCCCGCGAGCGCGCGATCAAACGCCATGACGCGTGCGCCTCCACTCGCGGGACTGTATGACGCGCGTTCGAATTACCGCCGCCATACTTTTCCGATGGAAAGCACGGCTTCGAGACGCGGTCGTGGAACGGCACCGGCTATTCTCTTGTTCTACTCCTCATCGTTTTCCGGTGGAACCGGATATCACACGAAAGATCCGTGACGCCGATCGCGATGTCAGCGTTGAATCTGGAGAGCGATCGGTAACGCTTCGTGCGAATATCTGATAAACATGAAACATTCTTGATTATGTTTTTAGATATCCTCTATGATATCTTGATTTTCTGATAACGTTGAAGATCTATTCGATATTTTCAATACGTAATATCTAAGGAAATTAATGAGGTTTTAAAATGTTGAGATATTTATTTGTCAAGAATTTGCAGTTGGATCATTGAACATTTTTATGTGTGCTATTTCACAAATTTTTGAAATCCTTATATGTTTCAAGATATCCAGATCTTGATGTCTTAATATTTCTCGGATTGCAAGTGTAATTCTTCACGAATTAAGATATTTGAATTTAAATATTTTGAATTTAGATATTTCTGTATATTTCATTAAATCGATGATATTAATATATCAATCAATATTTTTCCGTATTCTAATTTAATATGAACTATAACTTGTCAAAGAGAATATAAAAATTGGCTCGCAGTGCAATTTTAAAAGCGTTACTGGCAGAGTCCTCTGTTGCTTTGTTCGAAAATTTCCTGGAAAAAAATTATCGATGTAAGAAAACATGTTTGAAAAAATAATGTTAAACATTAAAAAAATATACCTCCCATCGAACAACGAATTAAATACTCAAATAGCGAATTATTGATAAAATACATGATCTCGAAATATATCGCAACATACAGAATGCTCGTGTTCGCTTGTAACAATTATAGAGACACAGCATATTTTTAAAGCTTTACAAGTTTTAAAAAAAAGAAAATTATCAGTTTTATTTTATAATTCGTCAATTGATTAATTATATAAAATTAAGAAAAAAAAAAAAAGTTTTGCCGAAACCCGGGATTGAACCGGGGACATTTAGATCTTCAGTCTAACGCTCTCCCAACTGAGCTATTTCGGCTCACGTGAATAATCGTCTCCGTTCCACTTTAGTTGTGATATCGTGTAGTTATGCCAACCAACATAGGTAGTTATGTACCGTTATATTAGACTGTGATGATTGTAACTGACCTTTGCTCAGTCGATTTGAGCTAAACGTCGAACGATACGTAAAAAATAGCGACTGTTAAATTTGATAAATTGTACGAACACGAATACTTTGATTGTACAACTCAAGATAAAATATGCGTCGAGCTATGATCAACTGTAATCAGGTGCAGACCGAGGTAATATCAGAAGGCCGTTGGATAGAGGAAGATCCGCTACCACATTCCAGCAAGAATATAGTCCTCGTCATTCCCGGGAACCCAGGTGTTCCGCGATTTTACGAGACCTTTATCAAAACACTCAAGTCGAGATTAACGTCGGACACACCCGTGTGGGTCGTCGGACATGCTGGGCATGTTCAGCCACCAGAGAACCTGGATATCGCTATGCCCAGCGATCAGAAGTGGACAGAGTGCTATGGTCTGACAGCGCAAGTTCAACACAAGGTGAATACTCTAGCCCTCGAGCACTTTCTATTGATCTCTTGACCTCTTATAATAAAGCTATAATTTTACGGTTGCAGGCTGAATTCATAAAAAGATACATTCCGGAGAATGCGCATTTACATCTCATTGGACATTCGATAGGTGCTTGGTTTGTACTCAATTTGCTGAAGGACAGTGACATTGATAAAAGGATACGGAAGTGCTATCTGTTGTTCCCTACGATAGAATACATGGCAGAAACTCCTAATGGAATATTCTTTAACACTTTTGTACGTCTTTGCATGTTTATCATTATATTTATCTATGAAATATTATTCATAGAGAAAGAGAGAGAGAGAGAGAGAGAGTGTGTGTGTATGTAAACAACATCATTCAACATGATACTCCAGATATAGCAAGTTAGATGTTATGATGTCTTTAATATCATGATGAATATTATAATTTCACGCTCGACAATAAAAATGTAATATATATGTATTATAACACATGTATAATTAGTTACCAGTTGCATTGTTGAGTGTGAAATTATAATCTGGAGTTTTTTTGATATTATACATCTTACTGTTAGTTGATGGATTATAATTACTGCATACAAGCAGGGCTGGGTATTTTTGCATTTAAAATGCCATTTAAAATGTAATTCTATTTAAAATGCTAAATGTAAAATACTTAAAAAAATGTTTATTAAAATGTATGTAGG